GGACCATGTGATATTTCAGTTTTTCTTTTTTAATACATCTGCAAAAATGTCAACAATTCTGTGTTTTTCTGTCAATATGGGGTGCTGTGTGTACATTAATGAGGAAAAAAATTAACTTAAATGATTTTAGCAAATGGCTGCAATATAAAAAAGAGTGAAAAATTTAAGGGGGTCTGAATACTTTCCGTACCCACTGTATATATATATATATGTGATATATATTCACCATGTCTCTTAACAGAACAAACACTAAAGGTAAACTTCATATTATGCGACTAGTACACATTACTTTATGGAGAGCTTACAACCTACTAGCTACAATCAGTCTTAATAACACATGGTGCAACAAGATAAAGTACAGTGTTGGTTACTAGCAGTTAAGAACTCATGAACATCTGGTACAACACTACTCATATGTACAAGGTCCAATATTAACAGAAAGAATAACAACTCGAAATTTACTAGTGATTTAAGAGTTAATTTTGGATCCTGCACATGTAAGAGTTTAACAGCATTAAATACCTTGTAATCCTGATCTGGCAACATGTTGAGCAAAAAAGTGACCATCTTCTGCGGAAATTCATACTTAATAGTCCAAAACAATAACTCTTCTAAAAAACATTTATGTTTCAAGGTGTCCATTATGGATGGATCTAACAAAACAGGAAAAGAGCAAGGAGATGAATTGTTTTGTTACTACAGTACATTATTTGGGGAATAACTGTTCAAGAGATTTAAGAATGATGAGATGTAATGGGATCTACCTTTGGTACTGCTACTGAGCTTCACTCTTTTCCTCTGGCCCACACCCTGCAGCCCCTCCTGATCCTCCTGTCAAACACAGACGTGAACCGCTTTTCATTTGATCCGGGGCTTGATTCATAAAACAAGTTTACCAAATAAGTCAGGATTATTTCAGTTAGTCTGACTTATTTTGAACCAGGTCAGCTGACAATAAGTCAGACTAACTGAAATAAACCTGGCTTATTTGGTAAACTTGTTTTATGAAACATTTCCCTTCTCAACAATGAGCACAGCTAAAACAATGTCCTTTGACAAATCGGTTCAGTGGCCAAAAAAGGCGGCTGCATTCTCAACAATGACAAAGGGAAGACACACCCTGCTGTGCTTGTTTTGACTGGTTGCTGGGTCACATCTTATCTATCCCACAAGTCTGTGTGCCTACCTCTTTGCTAGAGTCCTCCAGACTGGCAGCAGCAGTAGCTCCTAAAATAATAACAAACATGAAGACAGATATTGTTACCAAAGTATCAAACCCGTCTCTCCCTATTGACCCATCAGGAATAAAGCACAGAAGAGGCAGCAGGTGTTACCCAGTAGACTGAGTGCTCCTGCCCCAGCTGGAGTATCTGTTGCCCCAGCTCCTGCTCCTTTCTCCTCCACTGACACCAGACCTGAACTCTTCAATGCTGACAAATACTTCTCATAGTTCCTCTTCGCATAAACATTCTCCTCTTGACCTGTGGGTGTGGGACGACATAAAAATGTGAGCATACTGAAAATGAGTTTGAGTTTTAAAGGGGGGGGGGGTCATATGAAGTGTGAAAAAGAACAGAAAACATCTTACAGCTTAAAAACAGCTTAATTAAAAATAGTTGAATTGATGGTTCATACATCAATGCATAAAAGTCAGTAACAACAGTTCAGAAACATTAAGTAATGGGGAAGTAGGATATAGGATACGCTTTCAATAATAAGGTTCTAAAAGGGGATTTTGCAGCAATGCCACAGAAGAACAACCTCTCAGTGAACCATTTGCTTACGGTTGAGAACATTTGAATAAACTGAAGAAACTGGTTTCATCTTAAAGAAGCTTTTATGGAATGGAAAGGATCCATGGATGGAATCAAAGATGCCAATAAATAACCTTTATTTTTAAGATTGTATGTGCTATTATCCTAAACATTTGTGACCCTGGACCACAAAACAGTGTCAATTTTAAACCCTAAAATAAATAAGCTTTCTATTGATGTATGGTTTGTTAGGATAGAACAATATTTGGCCGAGATACAACTATTTGAAAATCTGGAATCTGAGGGTGCAAAAAAAAAATCAAAATATTGAGAAAATCACCTTTAAAGTTGTCCAAATTAAGTTCTTAGCAATGCATATCACTAACCAAAAATTAAGTTTTGATATATTTACGGTAGGACATTTACAAAATATCTTCATGGAACATGATCTTTACTTAATATCCTAATGATTTTTGGCATAACAGAAAAATCGATAATTTTGACCCATACAGTGTATTGTTGGCTATTGCTACAAATATACCCCAGCGACTTAACACTGCTTTTGTGCTCCAGGGTCACATTTAGTTAACTAACAGAAAGTTGCCAAACATTGTGATGTTTATGGCTCCCAAATAAGCCGAAGTTTAACAAGATCCATGATCATTGCACATTTCCATGCAGTAAATATCGGTATTTGTTTCACACTAGAAGACGACACCCAATCATAAAGGTCATTGGCATATATAGGTTTTTAATGGCACGGCAACAAAAACAAACTTTTTAATTGTAAGGGTGAGAGAGAGTGGAAATGGTCAAATAAATCAATAGAAATGTGATAAATACAACCCCAGGAAACAAAAGGTAATTAAAAACTCAAAAACAAGATGCATGCAGACACTATTTGAACAACGTTACTTTTTACAGGCAATCCCAACACATTTCAGACATACTCACCCATGCTCAGTTCTTTAAAGGTCTGCTGATTGGTTAAGATCTTGGTGAGAACAGTGCGCATGGCCCCGCCCATCTTGGTGAGCTCTTCTAAGAAGGATATGTGCGGCTCTAACTGCTGCAGAACCTTCTGCAGATCTCTGTCAGCGGCCGACTCTGCCAGCACATGATAAGATGTTTGTATGTGTGACAAAATAAAGCAGCATATGTTACCCCAGTGGGCACGATTAGCAGGCTCAGCCAGTACACGCCATAATATTATCCAAAAGCACAGAGAAAGCAGTTGACGTTATTTCACATCACTGATGATCTTATTCATTGCTGGGTTTTTTATATCCTAATTGTAATTTTTCTGATCAGTTCATAAGCTGAGTCCACTGACCCAGCTCCAAACTAAACAGATCCCATGAAATGAAAATTGGAGCATTGAGGCTTTTAGTTCATGTCTATGAGCTTTGAGGCAATCTAGTGTATAAATTAACACAATAGCCTTTAGCTGAAAGACGCATTTTAAAATATAGAATTTCTAAAAGGAAAATGGAACTTATTGATGTCCCCATCATGGAAGGAGAAGCCTTTGATACTCCCCGCCCCAACTGTTCCAATAGGAAATATATCAACATGTGACGCTTGTATGCTCGAGAAACCATTGTATGTGGTCTCTGAAGTAGTTACAGCAGTTTGCAAATGAATGAAGAAGACTGTTGGTAACTGAACAGTTTTGATTCCCATTAGCAATCCAAGACATAGATGACATGACTTGCTCACAAATAGATCGTCTGCAGTGAATGGGTGCCGTCAAAATGAGAGTCCAAACAGCTGACACAAACATCATTATAATAATCCACAGAAACCTCTAATAATCATGTGACGTGAAAAGCTGTTAGCAAACAAATCCATCATTCAGACGCTTTTAACTTCAAACCATTGCATCCAGCTAAAGTAAGAGTCCTCTATTCATAACATTGCTTTCTCCAGGGAAAAAAGTTGTCTTGTCTGAATAAGGAGAGAAATATGCACAGACCAAGCATAATTTACAATCCAAAACAGTCCAACACAGCTTTCGGTGGATTTTGATGACTATTTTTTTCACTGGATAAAGCGTTGTTGTTTATTATGGACTCATATAGCTTATTGCTCAGAAGTGATGTTTAAAGTTAAACTGCCTTGATAGATTTGTTTGTTTGTTTTTTACAAACATGCAGCTTTTTACTTCACAAGATGTTAGCTGATGGACTGGAGTGGTGTGGATTACTTCTGATGTTTTTATCAGATGTTTGGACTCTCATTCTGACGGCACCCATTCACTGCAGATGCTTAAGTAGTGAGCACGTGATACAATTTCTCCAAATCTACTCCCATAAGGAAACAAACTCATCTACATCTTGAAAGGCCCGAGGGTGAAACTTCCAACAATTGTATTTGTTTTAGCTGAAGCATTTCTTTAAGGTGTGATCTGGTGCCCTCACCTGGCTCAGTGTAGCCGTCTCTCAGGTACTGAATGATGGTGATGATAAACCGCGGCAGCACCATCTCAGACATGAGCAGCAGATCCCGAGGGACTGATGGCACATTCTCTCCCGTTTTTAACCGATGCCTACTGCAAAACCTGTCACACAAGAGCACTTGAATTAGAATTTAATTCAGCCGAGCTGAATTTGCTGTTTAGTGTACAAAAATTCAATTTTCATTGTAATATTGATAACTGGAAAAACCCCAGTCATTAAAAAACATTTGAATCCTATCTATCTGATGTCTGAGGTCACAGTCTGTTTTCATAAAGCTCAACAGGTCGATGCACTACAGAATATGCAATTCTTCAGGGTTTCACTAACATAGAGGAGGAGGTGTGTTAGATCAGCGCTCAAAAATATAATTGTACAACACTGTATTTTCCCCATTCATTTTCATCGCTGAGAGTTCAAAAATGGGCAGGGCCAAACTAGCCAGCTCAGAGGTGAAAAACAGACAAACATGCACTCTTTTGTTTTTTTCAATTGGGAATGCACTATTTATCCCATGAAGCAATGCAACTAGGGCTGCCACTAACAGTTATTTTCATTTTGATTAATCTAGCAACTAATTTATCGATTAATCTAAACGATTAATTTCCCACCAAAAAAAAATGTAACAATTTTACTTAAGGATATTTTATTAAACTATTTTATTAAACTAAATGAAATCCAAATTTATATGAAATGCTTTTTTTAAAGCAAAAGTGCAACAGAGTGCAAGCAGCAAGTGTCCATCTCATAGTCCAAATCACTGAAATCAGAGTTCAGTATTATAGTGTAAGAATGACAACATATCCACGTGTTCTAGTCTACTAATACAATTATAATCAAAAAACACCTTTTAAAGGAGTATTTACCAGAACTGTTATTTACCAGAATTTATTTAGGAGAAAAATGTAAATGTGCAGTATTTCTGAAAAAAATATATTTTTTATTTATTTTTTTAATAAAATAAATTATTTGGAGATACTTTTGATTATTAAAATTTAAATGGAACCATTAAAATGGAATCCATAAAATAAAGGAAAACAGAATTTGGTAGAGACAAAACTGTAAAACTCAATTAATTAGACAGGATTTTTGATTAATACATTTTAATTTAACCATTAAAACTGAGTATAGAAAATTTAAAATGGGATATTAAACTATTTTATTAAACTAAATGAAATCCAAATTTATATGAAATGCTTTTTTTAAAGCAAAAGTGCAACAGAGTGCAAGCAGCAAGTGTCCATCTCATAGTCCAAATCACTGAAATCAGAGTTCAGTATTATAGTGTAAGAATGACAACACATCCATGTGTTATAGTCTACTAATAATAAAATTATAATAAAAAACACTTTTAAAGGAATATTTACCAGAAATGTTATTTACCAGAATTTATTTAGGAGAAAAATGTAAATGTGCAGTATTTCTGAAAAAAATATATTTTATTTTTTATATTTAAAATATTTTATATTTTATTTTATTTTTATTTTATAAAATCAATTATTTGGAGATGCTTTTGATTATTAAAATTTAATGGAACCATTAAAATGGAATACATAAAATAATGGAAAACAGAATTTGGTAAAGACAAAACTGTAAAACTCAATTATTTAGACATTTTAATTTAACCATTCAAACAGAGTATAGAAAATTTAAATGGAAAAAAAAACTGAATTTGAAAATAAAACTGATTTCATAGGGCCCTATAATTATAATAATTTTTTTGTGGTAATAAAAATAGATGTAGGTGAACAATAGCCTTTAAATGACTTAAAATACATATATAATGAGGAAATAATTATTTGTTCACATAAAGTATCAAAAAGATAGCCTTTAAAATGACTTAAAATACATAATAGCAATGAGGCAATAATAATTAGTTCAAACAAAGTATCAAAAAAAATAAATTATATGGTTTTATTGAACAAAATTGTTAAAATACATAATGTATTATAAACAATAGAGCTAATGTACATTACGCATTACAACGGCCTGACGATTGTTTTTACACATTACTGTGCGATCTAATCCTTGTTTAATATTGACCAAGCACCACTTAACTCAAATGTCCACTTAATCTTTAATATTTGGCCATTTCTTTAGGACAGAAATGCTATAGCCGCTGTAATTAAAAGAATATGTGGACATCAAACCGTGTAAACTCAGAGTGAGGGTTTGAGCTTGAAACCGGGCTTGAAACCGGGATGTATTCATAAATAACACCGGTATATAAAGCAAAATGTTATAATGTACAAACAATAAACACAATACCTAGCCTATAGGCAATTTTGAACGGTTTCAGAAGAAAACAAGAATGAAAAACATAAGTTGCTAGACAAGCCTAAACGAATTAGGCTAATCAGTGGCGGCGCTAGGGTGGGGCTTGAAGGGGCCCATCAGAAAGGGCTTGAAACCGGGCTTGAAACCGGGATGTATTCATAAATAACACCGGTATATAAAGCAAAATGTTATAATGTACAAACAATAAACACAATACCTAGCCTATAGGCAATTTTGAACGGTTTCAGAAGAAAAACAAGAATGAAAAATATAAGTTGCTAGACAAGCCTAAACGAATTAGGCTAATCAGTGGCGGCGCTAGGGCGGGGCTTGAAGGGGCCCATCAGAAACTTGCTTAGCCCCGGCACAGCCCCCCCCTATTTTTGGTGTCACTTTCATTAACATTGAAAAATAAACATAAAAAAAGAAAATTGCCTAATATGTGGCCTATAAACGATTGATATTATGGGGGAGGGGTCAAGCAACACAAGCAAGCAACGCGCAAACTATGCGCAAGCGATATGCCGGTGAACGTCAGTAAATTCACTAGAGAAAGTGAAAGTAAAAAAAAAAACCTGACGGCGCTTTCTAACGCTGCATTAACAGCGGTTATTACACGGCCCGGTGGAATACTTGCTTCTGATTGGTAGCTTTGCGTTCAAATATTTCAACTCAAATCAATATTTCGCGTCTAATTATTTACTTATGTGGCAAGTAGCCGTGTAATAAGCAGGATAATGTACATCCAGCCGGTTGTTATCTCAGAATAAACCCCTTCAGGCTGATACAAGACCTGATCACCCTGTCGGGGTTTATTCTGAGATAACAACCGGCTGGATGTACATTATCCCTTACATATTCTCTGAGACAACAGAGATGGTATACAACTGTCTTAAATTATTCCCTTAATATTTCTCTTGTGGCCCTTATAGTGAAAAACATGAGAAGAAACGTATTTCGCGTTAAACAGGTTGTTTTTGAAAATCTGTGCACGAAATAAAGTTGCTCTTAATTTTCATTGATGCAGCCTGCAGTGTTAATCATTTTAATAATAGGCCTATAATTCAATTGTATAAATTAAAAGACCTGTTTAAAAAAAACATTTTCAATGAGTAGCCTAAGCTAATAGCCTAAATTTTAATTACCCTCACAGCGTGCCATACGGTAATGCGCTACGAAATTATTGCGGCGCAATAATTTCATGTAATTTAATAATAAAAGTAACCTAATAATAATAATAGGCCTAATAATAAGAAGAATGTAACAGGCCTACATTACTTGGAAATGCTAAATCCTCTTAATATTGCCAATTTTTGATGCTTTGTTTTGACAATATCTCTAGCTATCGTCGACACATGATACGACGCATCTCAGCACGGGCCCCCCCCGCAGTGTGTGCCCGTCTGATATGCCACTGTGTGGAATTAGTTGAATGAATTGTCGGCACTTTATCTATTGTAAAAAAAATGGTTAGAATATACCATGTTTTCCTGCCAGTTGGCATTGAGAGTGACTGACACTTGATGGTCAGAAAAAATGACTGGCAGAGGATCCCCAAATTTCCCAAAAAGACTCATGGCTGTATTAGATCAAAAGGGTGCTTCTACTAAATACTGAGCAAAGGGTCTGAATACTTAGGACCATGTGATTTTCAGTTTTTCTTTTTTAATAAATCTGCAAAAATGTCAACAATTCTGTGTTTTTCTGTCAATATGGGGTGCTGTGTGTACATTGAGGAAAAAAAAAATTACTTAAATGATTTTAGCAAATGGCCGCGATATAACAGAGTGAAAAATTTAAGGGGGTCTGAATACTTTCCGTACCCACTGTATATACATATATATACATATATAACACGGCCCTGTGGAATACTTGATTCTGATTGGTCAGTCGCGACATTCCGAGGTATGTTATTCCTCGATAACAACCGGTAAAAGCTAATAACAGGCTCATCCGGGTAACAGCAGTCGGCGATGTACTCTTGCTTGAACCTTGGTGGATTGGTGGAAGCTTTGCGTTTGTTTAGCTAATAAAATATTAAAACTCGATTCAAAATGGTGTACAATTATTTCATCCTGGT